CAGTAGGCTGAAGATAGGTGCCCACAACATTACAGAAGAACTTTGGATAACTATCCAGGCAGTGAGATGTCTCTATCAATTCTAAAGTTTTGGAAGTTGGTTACAATACACTTCCTGTTTACTTAGGTAATATTATATCCTTCTAAAGTCTTTGATGGAGTTGAAGAGTAGATAGTTATAATTTTAGTTTTACTTATTTATAATAAAAGATAAAGTGGATATAAATATTGTAACTAATTTTTGCTTGATAACTGTTTTGTTGTATGTAATTTTACTATGTTAAAGTTAAAACCTTCCTTTTTATTTAAACAGTAAAGGGGAAATGGTGTGACCAGTCCTTCTGTCTATGTGTTGCTTTTATTCATTCATGAATAAAGAAACTGAATATGGCAAGGTAGAACTTAGCTAGGTGGGGAAAATTAAACTGAATTCTGGGTAAAAGAAAACAGAGTCAGGAAAAGCCATATAGCCTCACCAGAGACAGATGCTGGGAATGGAACTTTACCCAGTAAGCCACAGCCATGTGGCAATACACAAATTAATAGAAATGGATTAAATTGAGATGTAAGAGTTAGCCAATAAGAAACTAAGTGATTTAATTAATACAGTTTCTGTGTGATTATTTCAGGGCTGAGTAGCTGGGAACAAACAAGCAGCCTCCTACAACATACTTACATCAGTAGTTCTTGTTTGTTTACCCAGGTTTTCCATTTCCAGAATTCCCTTGGTATGTGTTTTCTTTATTGACTCTATTTCAATTTTCAAATCTTGAACTGTTTGCTTCACCTGTTTGTTTTTTATTTCTTTTCTTGGCTTTCTTTAAGATATTTATTGTTTGTCTTTTCCTCCATTTCTTTAAGGGAATATTTTTATTTCCTCTTCAAGGGTCTCTATCGTCTTCAGAAAGTTATATTTAAGGACATTTTCTTCTGCTTCTTCTGGGTTAGGATGCTCAGGTCTCCCTTTTGTAGGACCATGAGGTTCAGGTGTTGCCATCATTGTTCTTTAGCTTGTTGGATGTATTCTTGCATTGGTGTCTACCCATCTCTTCCTCCAAGGTGTGCAGGTGGGGTCTGTGCATCAGGGGGTTTCTCTTTCTCCAACTGGTGCAGGTGGATCCTATGGCTTGGGTGGTCACTTCTCCTCCTTGTGTAGGCAGGGCCATGCCTTTGGTAGTCGCTGATGTGGCTTTAGGGGATTTTCTCCAGGTACAGTCAGGGCCAAAGCTCCAATGGTTGTAGGTGCAGTCAGGCATGGTTGCAGGTATGAGGAGCTTGCTCCTGTGTCTCTGGGATTTGGTGGTTGTGGGTGGAGCATAAGATGTTCCTCCAAGGGCTAGGGCCTGGAGAGCAGGGCTGTCCATCTGGGAACCCAGACACTCACCTCTCTAGGAGCAGTAAGGACCAAGGCTCCAGTGGTCAGAGATGTGGTGGGGGATGGCTGCAGGTATGGGGAGACTACTCCCAGGTCCCTGGGGCCTTCCTAGATGGGGGTGGGGCACAGGATGTGCCTCCAGGGGCTAGGGACTAGAGAGCTGGCCCTCCAGTAATGAACTCAGACACTCACCCCTCCAAAGGCAGTTGGGACTAAGGTTCAGGTGGTCAGAGACTGTTTTGACATTTTCATAATTAGTGATTGGTGGGGAAGGCCCAGAGCATGGTGTGTGGTGCCACCCCTGGGTTGGTGATCCTGGATTCTATAAGAAAGCAAGCTGAACAAGCAACAAGTGCATGTCAGTAAGCAGCACCCCTCCATGGCTTCTGCATCAGCTCCTGCCTCCAGATTCCTGCCTTCCCTGAGTGCCTGCCATCACTGCTTTTGATGGTGGATTGTTATATGGAACTGTGAGAAAAAATTAACAACTTGTTTTTTAATCATGATGTTTCATCACATCAACAGAAACCCTAAGTAATAAAGGTCCATAAACAAAGTATTCAATGTTTTATAAAAAGTCAAGCAGCAGCTGGGGGTGGTGGCTCACACCTTTAAGCCCAGCACTTGAAAGACAGAGGCAGGTGGATCTCCGTGATTTCAAGGCCAGCCTTGTCTACAAAGTGAGTTCCAGGACAGCCAGGGCTACGTAGAGAAAACCTATCTCCAAAATCAAATAACAAACAAGTCAATCTGCACACAAATTATACTTTAAATGTAACAAACTTCCATTGCAACTCTAGAGGGTTTTACATGAAATGCCACACATTCTAAACTTACATCAAAAACTAAATGAAATGAAAATAGCCAAGATTTAAAGGTTATTCATCTTCACTATTAAATAGGGAGATAAAAAATAAAATATCATTTTAACCACCACTTTGACAAAATTAAAAAGCCTGCCCACAAAACCTTGACCATGTGGTAATTAAAATAGTATATGCAATCTTTCTATTTTCTCTTCTAGACCAAAAAAGAAGGCAAATAGGAGCAAAAATACCATGTTCGTTCAGAGTGCAACCAGTGCCACTGAGGAACCAGTGGGTGTCTAGCTTTTCCTGCTGATGGACTGATGAAAAAGGCCACCAACTGTCCAACTGAAGTTAGGAGAAAACAGTAAGCAGCTGAACAAAGTGACCAAAATAAACAAAAACGGATGCACAATCTAACAGTTGCCAGAGTTAGACAGATAAACCCAAATATGGTTGGACGGAGAGATACAAACATATAATAAAGTGCCTAAAATGAATTTAAATTTTGAAAACCTAATCTAAGAAGCCAGGGGAACCCAGGTATAGTGGCACACGGCTGCAATCTAGAACTTGGGAAGTGGAGACAGGAAGTTGTCCTCCACCATTCAGCAAACCTGAGCTATATGAAAGTAGAGGTGGGGAGGTGGCAATTTGGGCAAGAAACTGCCCTTGTCTGGACTGCTTGGTGGTATACTGTATGAACAGAACATGCAGGATCCACTGAAAAGTGCCTGCTGATCTTTCCAAAACATAGGATGATCCTTCCGTGTTCCTGCTTCACATAAGAAACTATCAGACATCCTGCAGGACACGGAAGCAATTGACAAACTTTGCCAGTGCAAGGGAGAACAGAGCTTCACATTTCCTGTTTCACTGAAGAGTCTGCCAGAAGTTATGGGCCTGTAGGCTGAAGATGTTTGCCCCGGTGGGACAAAAGAGCTTTGGGTGACTGTCCAGGTAGCGAGCTGTCTCTGTCAATTCTAGAACTTTAGGAGTTGCTTACAATGCACTTCCTGTTTACTTACATAGTACTACATCCTTCTGTAGTCTTTAGAGTTGACGAGTAAATAATTATAATTATAGTTTTCCTTAGTTATGATAAAAGATAAATTAGATATAAAACTTTAGACTCACAAAGATAGAATAGATGATAGAGTATTTTCCTTAATTTACGAAATGCAAGAGGACCAGAGAGGAGGCGGGGCCTGAGTGAGCTGAGGGCGAGGAGGAGGGGCCTGAGTGAGCTGAAGGAGAGGAGGCGGGGCCTGAGTGAGGCTGTGGGAGAAGAGGTGGGGCCTGCAGAGGCTGTCCCAGGAGGAGGCGGGGCCTGAGTGAGCTGAAGGAAAGGAGGCAGAGCCTGAGTAAGGCTGTGGGAGAGGAGGCAGGGCCTGAGTGAGCTGTGGGAAAGGAGGTGGGGCCTGAGTGAGCTGTGGGAGAGGAGGCGGGGCCTGAGTGAGCTGAGGGAGAGGAGGTGGGGCCTGAGTGAGCTGTGGGAGAGGAGGCGGGGCCTGAGTGAGGCTGTGGGAGAGGAGGCGGGGCCTGAGTGAGCTGAGGGAGAGGAGGCAGGGCCTGAGTGAGCTGTGGGAGAGGAGGCGGGGCCTGAGTGAGCTGAGGGAGAGGAGGCGGGCCTGAGTGAGCTGAGGGAGAGGAGGCAGGGCCTGAGTGAGGTTGTGGGAGAGGAGGTGGGGCCTGAGTGAGCTGAGGGAGAGGAGGTGGGGCCTGAGTGAGCTGTGGGAAAGGAGGTGAGGCCTGAGTGAGCTGTGGGAGAGGAGGCGGGGCCTGAGTGAAGCTGTGGTATGGAGGGGTGGACTGAGTGAGGCTGTGGGAGAAGAGGCGGGGCCTGCAGAGGCTGCCCCCAGGAGGAGGCGGGGCCTGCAGAGGCTGCCGCAAAAGGAGGTGGGGCCTGCAGAGGCTGTCCCAGGAGGAGGCGGGGCCTGAGTGAGCTGAAGGAAAGGAGGCAGAGCCTGAGTAAGGCTGTGGGAGAGGAGGCAGGGCCTGAGTGAGCTGTGGGAGAGGAGGTGGGGCCTGAGTGAGCTGAGGAAGAGGAGGCGGGGCCTGAGTGAGCTGAGGAAGAGGAGGTGGGGCCTGAGTGAGCTGAGGAAGAGGAGGCGGGGCCTGAGTGAGGCTGTGGGAGAGGAGGCGGGGCCTGAGTGAGCTGAGGAAGAGGAGGCGGGGCCTGAGTGAGGTTGTGGGAGAGGAGGTGGGGCCTGAGTGAGCTGAGGGAGAGGAGGTGGAGCCTGAGTGAGGCTGTGGGGGAGGAGGCAGGGCCTGAGTAAGTGGTGGAAGAGAAGGAGGGGTCTGAATGAGCTGTGGGAGAGGAGGCGGGGCCTGAGTGGCTGAAGAAGAGGAGGCGGGGTCTGAGTGAGCTGTGGGAGAGGAGGCGGGGCCTGAGTGAGCTGAGGGAGAGGAGGCAGGGCCTGAGTGTGCTGAAGAAGAGGAGGCCAGACCTGAGTGAAGCTGTGGTATGGAGGGGTGGACTGAGTGAGGCTGTGGGAGAAGAGGCGGGGCCTGCAGAGGCTGCCGCAAAAGGAGGCGGGGCCTGCAGAGGCTGCCCCCAGGAGGAGGCGGGGCCTGAAGAGGTTGCCCCAAGAGGAGGCGGGGCCTGAAGAGGCTGCCCCAGGAGGAGGCGGGGCCTGAGGAGGTTTTCCCAGGGAGGAGGCGGGGCCTGAAGAGGTTTCCCCAAGCGGGAGGCGGGGCCTGCAGAGGCTGCCCCCCAGGAGGAGGCGGGGCCAGCGGGCGGCCTCTTTTAAGGAAGGGCGGGGCTGAGCGAGCCGAGGGCGGGGACTGAGCGGAACGCCTTGGCCTGCGCCCGCCCACACCGCCGGCGGCGAGCCTGAGCCCGGCTTTTCCTAAGGCCCGGGAGTGCGGCGAGGACGCCGGGACCGGAAGCAGCAGTGGGATGCGGCTGACGCGGACGCGCCTGTGCTCGCTGCTCGTCGCCCTGTACTGCCTCTTCTCCATCTACGCCGCCTACCACGTCTTCTTCGGGCGCCGTCGTCGGGCGCCGGTCGGGACCCCCCGGGGCTCCAGGAAAGCGGGAGCGCAGGCGAAGGAGAGGCGCGGCCGAGGTAAGGCGGAGGCAGGGCGGGCTGCGGGCCTGCGGCTCGCGCTGGGATCCCCGGGCCCTCGGGCGTCCTTCGTCCTCAGCCCGGAGCCAGCCCGAACTCGGATTGGGGGCTCTTCCCATGCTGGGCGAGCTCCGTGCCTCAGCCGCCCCGAGGCTGGTGGCCTGCACGCCTTTAAAGCGTGGAGCAGCCCCCGCACGGCCTCAAGGCCAGAGTTGCGGTAACGCTGCGGGCGAGCGGCAAGTCACCGCTGAGTCTCCAGCCGCTCTTCCCGTGGTCACAAAGCACGCTCCTTTCTAGTCATGTGACTGCAGAAGGCCGTACCTTATAGTCCCAGCTCGAGTCCCAGCTGGTATTTTGACTTGTTTTGGAATTGCGGACCTTTTTAACCCCCCTCCCACTCTCGCTCAGAATTCTTGCACAGTTGTGTTATGACATTGGTGGAGACAGCGCTCTAAAATTAAGATTTACTAATAGTTTACTTACATAAAACCCGTAAACAATTCCAGAACTAAAACGTGTGACTCGATATGTTTTCTGCAGGTATTTCTAAAGGCTTGCGGGGAAGACATACTTGTTAAAAATTTTTAAATCTTTAACAGAGATGGTTCAATTAAAAGATATTGGTTTCTTTTTTTCAATTGTATACCTCGAATTTGATTGTCTCTGAAATTTGAAGGTGAAACTAGTTCGCTCTGATAATCTCATTCAAATGACTTAACTTTGTATAAGCAGTTATTCCTCAGTGGTAAACGCAGTCACTTTCTTTAAAAACAGAGCAGTCTGTCCTGGAGAGTGAAGAATGGAATCCGTGGGAAGGAGATGAAAAAAGCGAGCAGCAACAAAGAATTAAAAGTGGCCTGCAGATATTAAATAAATCCACCAAAGAAAAAGTAGAGCACAGGGTACAGATCTGGGGAAAAGCTGCCATTGGTAAGTTACCGCGGACAGGGGAAGTCGTCTGGGAAGGCCGTGCACAGTGTGGACCATTCCAGCGCCACATTTGCTAGAGAATGGATTTCATTGTTTAATGACAACATTTTACCTTTCCTCGGAATTTCATTTGCCTTTCCCCTTAGGTAACAAGAATACACATACTCTCCTATTGGTTGTTGGCTTTCGTTGGTAGATGACAAAGTAGACTGGGTGTCCAGTGAGGGGATTCAGTATGTAGCTGATTAAACTGTGACGCGTGCAGTGCCCTCAGCTCAATCCCGGCAGCGAAAATAGACAAACAAAAACTTTGTTCACGGGAGCTGCTTTATCGGGAATCTAGTGTTGCAGGATGTACATCATGCTCAGAGCGTGAGGCCGTTGGTGATTGAGATTGTGTGTGCATAAATATATATATTTACAGTGTGCAACACTGGTAGGTTGATAAACATTTGCTTTGTGAAATTGTCAGCAGGCTATCCATCATATAACATACTTATTTTTGGTGAGAACATTTCAAATTTAGTTCCTCACAAATGTAAAGTATACAATTTAGTATTAATAAGTATAATCGTGATCCTGTACATTTGCTCTCCAGAATTCATCCTGTGTTTATGAGACCTTATACCATTTGACTGACGTTTCCTCATTTTACATAATCCCCCTTACTCCTGCTTTTATGGCTTTTCAATGTGAGTTGGACTTATGTATAGTGAGCGATACAATTAATAGCAAGAACAGGATGACAAAAGGGTAAATAGCATAGTGCCTGGCTGGAGGCATTTCATAAATTTATTTATGATTAATTACAAAAATGTATCTTGAAGATTACTACTGAGCTCTGAGCTTCACATAGCTTTACCTGGATTTGAAGTGACTCAATTTTAACAGTTTTGAGGGATTTTCTGGTGGTTTTTCTGTTGTCGTTGAATTTTAAATTAAGTACTGATTTCTCCCTATAAAACTCCATATTCTCATTCTACTTTGAATTGTACATGTCAGTGGGTTTTCATGATTTTAGACTTCTTGGTCCAGTGAGCATCATAGAGGCCCTCGAACTACTAGACACTCCTTTCATTGGCACATGCCCCTACGGTTACAGCAGACTGTAATTCCTGCTAACAGTCGTAACAGGGGTCCTTGTCCAATTTGGAAACTGAGGCAAATTCCATGAGATTTTTCTACCTAGAGTAATCTCTGATACAGCTTTGCGTTGTCTTTCTTCAACTCCACCTTTGGAGCCATTCTTCCATTTGCATGAGGAATATCATGTGTTTACCGCTCAGTAGATTTATCAGCCTTTCCTGCTGGTAGAGTTTTTGAGGCGAATCCATTTCAACAATTGATCTAGGTTGGCAGGATTCCTGATAACGTATCGTTCTTTTTTTTTTTTGTCTTTTTTATTTCTTTTTTTTAATTAATTTATTTATTTATTAAGGATTTCTGTCTCTTTCCCACCCCCGCCTCCCATTTCCCTCCCCCTCCCCCAATTAAGTCCCCCTCCCTGTCAGCCCAAAGAGCAATCAGGGTTCCCTGCCCTGTGGGAAGTCTAAGGACCACCCACCTTCATCCAGGTCTAGTAAGGTGAGCATCCACACTGCCTAGGCTCCCACAAAGCCAGTACGTGCAGTGGGATCAAAAACCCATTGCCATTGTTCTTGAGTTCTCAGTAGTCCTCATTGTCCGCTATGTTCAGCGAGTCCGGTTTTATCATTGAGCCTCTAATTAGTGATCCTAGAGAAGCTAAATAAGAAGGAGAACCCAAAGAAAAACATATAGGCATCCTCCTGAATATTAACCTTCATCAGACGATGAAAGGAGACAGAGACCCACGTTGGAGCACCGGACAGAAATCTCAAGGTCCAAATCAGGAGCAGAAGGAGAGAGAGCACGAGCAAGGAACTCAGGACCGTGAGGGGTGCACCCACACACTGAGACAATGGGGATGTTCTATCGGGAACTCACCAAGGCCAGCTGGCCTGGGTCTGAAAAAGCCTGGGATAAAACGTATCGTTCTTTAACACTTTAAAGATCTTTTGTGTGTCACAAGAGTTCACTGTATTAGGAATGGAGCTCCCCCATATATCTTTCCTGGACAGTCCCTTCTCTATTTCTGGCATCTGCCGAGGTGGCTAACGAGATCCACAAATCACATGCATAATCTCTTCCCACAGCCTCTTATACACATGAATATTTTGATTTTCTTTTGGTTTAATTTTGTTGGCACACACCTTTAATCCCAGCCCTCCAGAGGCAGAGGCAGGCAAATCTCTGTGAGTTCAAGACACACCTGGTCTATAAAGCAAATTTCAGGACATCCAGAACTACACAGAGAAACCCTGTCTCAAAAAACAAAACAAAAAAAAGCAAAAAAAAAAAAATTTGAATAGTTCAAAACTTTCCCACTATCAAATGCTGCTTTCTTATTACTTAACAGTTTTTGTCCCTCTGTCTTTTTTTCCTCTTATATTTTACTATAATCTGTAGTGATGAGCGGCGGGCTGCGTCCCTGGCATCCGGCCACCTGCATGGCTAGTTTATGCCCCGAAATAGTTACACAGAAACTGTATTCTTTTAAACATTGCCTGGCCCATTAGTTCCAGCCTCTTATTGGCTAGCTCTTACATATTGATCTAACCCATTTTTAATATTCTGTGTAGCCCACGAGCTGGCTTACCAGGAAAGATCTTAACCTGCGTCTATCTGGAGTGGGAGAATCATGGCGACTCCTACTGACTTGGCTTCTTTTTTCCAGCATTCTGTTTTGTTTACTCCTCCTACCTAATTTTTTGTTCTATTAAAGGGCCAAGGCAGTTTCTTTATTTAACCAATGAAATCAACACAAAACAGAAGACTCTGACATTCAATACTTTGGTTACAAATCTCTTCAGAGAAATACCTAAGGTCTCCAATTGTAAATTCTGCTTTACACATCTATACCAATGGGGCACAGCTCAGCTAAGTTCGTGGCTCTTCTACAGCACAGTTCTCTGTCCTGGTTTCTAAAAACACAGTCTTCATTTCCTTCCATGCCCTGCCTACCTTTACCATGCACATTCTACCAACAGTCAGCCTACGACAGTCTGTGTGTATTGAGACAGCATAGGCTTTCTCTCCTGTGTCCTCAGCGTGTGACAGTCAGCGTGAACTAGACACAGTGTGGGCTTTCTCTCCTGTGTCCTCAGCGTGTGACCGTCTGCGTGTACTAAAGACAGCGTAGGCTTTCTCTCCTGTGTCCTCAGCGTATGACAGTCTGCGTGTACTAGAGACAGTGTAGGCTTTCTCTCCTGTGTCCTCAGCGTGTGACAGTCAGCGTGTACTAGAGACAATATAGGCTTTCTCTCCTATGTCCTCAGCTTGTGACAGTCTGCGTGTACTAGAGACAGTGTAGGCTTTCTCTCCTGTGTCCTCAGCCTGTGACAGTCAGCGTGTACTAGAGACAATATAGGCTTTCTCTCCTATGTCCTCAGCGTGTGACAGTCTGCGTGTACTAGAGACAGCGTAGGCTTTCTCTCCTGTGTCCTCAGCGTGTGACAGTCTGCGTGTACTAGAGACAGCGTAGGCTTTCTCTCCTGTGTCCTCAGCCTGTGACCGTCTGCGTGTACTAGAGACAATGTAGACTTTCTCTCCTGTGTCCTCAGCGTGTGACCGTCTGCATGTACTAGAGACAGTGTAGGCTTTTTCTCCTGTGGTCCTAACCCTCACCTGAGTCTTCCTCACTGAATGAGCAGTGAACATCTGCATTTCTCTGCACTCTGAGGCATTGTCGTCTAATCTTTGTTAAAAGTCATACTCTTCCAAATTCTTCCAGCCACCCCCATTTTCCTGTTTCCTATTTTAACTATTTGCTACAGAATCACCTCACTTCCCAATACCATGTTCTGCCCATGTAACACATAGTTTTCTATCACTGCTATCACAGATATTACAAAAACTACCCTATTTCATAATTCCTAACTACAACTTTATTTCCTGCCTTTCTCGAGGGAGGCATCTCAGATGTCTCGGGAAGGCTCGCCATCTGGGCACCATAGTGACATGGAGACACTTGCTGTGTAAGATAGTGTTCACAGGCTCTAGAGATTCAGATATGGACGTAGGGAAGCAGGGAATTATTCAGCCTTACACATTTGGAAGCTCTATCTGATTGCCCAAATTTTAAATCTGGTTGTTAGGGTGACTTAATGGAAGTGGAACAAAATGCATCTTTCAGTATAACTGGCACCATGTTCTCAGGTGCTGGATGACTCCACGTTACTATAACCTCATGCCTACTGCTGATCTTGTCCACCCCTAACGCTTTCGTTCAGATGAAGCATCATGGTTGTCCTCGGGAGAAAGGATGAAGTGTCATTTGTCTGCAGAGGGGATCATGCATTCAAGGATGTCTGTTCAAATGGGGAGGTAATATCCCCTCGACATGCTGAATATTTTGGTTCATACTGATGAGCTCCTCTGGCTTCAGCACAAAATGTTTAGTCCCTCAGTTACGATGGTAACTTAATTCTAATGATGGTAATTTAGTTTATAATACAAACTTTTCTTCAGAATATGTAGGCAGTAAGGGTTCAGCAGCATTAGAGCTTCCTCAGTATAAAGTAAAAGATTCTGTTGTCTTTACTACACCCCACTTTTAATGCCTACAGCCATTGAAGTCTCGTACAGTTAGTTGCCGTATTGATGACTGAGGTTTTGCTTGGTAGGACTGCCTGCCGGCAGATCATGGCAGGCACCTTCTAGTCTCATAGTCAAAACAGAAAGGAAGAAAACATGTTTCTCAGACATACGCAGATGGATAAGGCAGCAGATGTTTCTCTTTTTCCTCTTTCGTTACCAGGTCTGTATCTCTGGGAACACATTTTTGAAGGCACTCTTGATCCCGCTGATGTGACTGCTCAATGGAGGGAAGGACAGTCAGTTGTAGGAAGAACACATTACAGGTACCAATCAGACAGCATAACCCTGGGTTGCTGTGTGGTGTTTTATGTCACATTTATATGTCATTTCCATTTCAACTCGGGGAAAAATACAGAAATAAATCTTGTGAATATGTGTTCTTAGTTCAAGCTTCATTAAACATTTTTATATTAAATTTGACATTACAAAATAGTTTTGGAGGGAGGAAATGTGCCTCGTGGTGCAGTGGTAGAGAACTTGCCTGCCGTGTGCAAGGCCCTGGGTTCTGTCCCCACTCCTGAGAAAAAATAAGTTTTGGGGAGTCATATTTCTGTTTTGTTTTAAGCTGATGATTTAGAAAGCTTTGTGATAAATGAGTACTTAACGTTCTGTGCCTTGGAGGACTAATATGTAAACAAGTATTGCTTTCATTATTTTCATTAGTAGCTATGTTAGCCTTGTAATATCCAGATAAAATCCAACTTTGATTTGTTAAAGCATTTTATGTCATATCTACTATGATTTATTTAATGATACAGATTCCTAGTTTTTACAAAATTCAGAACTGTTTCTGGTTTGATTTTTAGATTCTGTAAATGTAATTCATTAGAAGTTTTACTTTAATTTACCTATCACTATATAATTTTTTATTGTTGAACAGAATTAACATGACTTTAATTACAAAAATCGTAATTTTGTCATGAAAGTACTATTTTCATTTTTATTTTTACTGAAATAAACATGATTTGTTTTTACATGTTTACTTCGTGTGACAATTGTGTATTGGGCATATGTCAATAAGAGAGTCTGGTTTTTATTATAAAGCCATTATTTTTCCACAACCTTGGGCATTCTTTGTTAGGAGCTATAGACGCTGTTTGTTTTCAATTAAATATTTTATTTAATGTTAGTACATGAATACAATGTGTTTGGGTCCAGTTCAACCTGCATTTCCTACCCTCCAGTTCCTTCTCCATACAACTCCATCAGTTTCCCTCCTGACTTCATGTTCACATGCCTGCACATGTACACTCTCAATGTTTGTCTTTGTGTGTCTCTGTCTGTCTCTCTCATTCTCTTGCTCGCTCTCTCTAATACCCACCAAGTCCACTTATTGATGCCCATATGTGAGATCATGTCCTGGAGCATGGGTAGCTTCTCAGGGCCTAAATCCCTGAAGAAAAATGGCTCTTTCAGTCTCTCTCTCTCTTGCCCTCCTTCTCTCTCCCCCCTTTCCCTCCCCTGCAAGTAGCAACTGCTAGTAGTTGTGGTTTTTTCTTACTTTCTTCTTATTATTTAATTGAAATTTTGAATACCAATTCCTGTTCCCACTCTCTCCTCTCCTCCCACTCCCTCTGCCTTTCCCCATAGGGAGTCTGCAAAATCTAGCACAGGGCTTTGAGGCAGGACCAAGGCCCTCCCTACTCTATCTAGGCTGAGCAAGGTATCACTCCAAGGAGAATGGGCTCCAGAAAGCCAGTTCAAGCCCTAGGGATAAATCCTGTTCTCACTACCAGTCTACCCCAGCCGTACAACTGTCACCCACATTCAGACGGCCTAGTTTGGTCCTATGCTGGTTCCCCCACTGTCAGGCCAGAGTCTGTGAATTCTCACTAGCTCAGGTAAGCTGTTTCAGTGGGTGTCCCCATCATGGTCTTGACCCTTTTGCTCATATTATCGCTACTCCCTTTCTTCAACTGAACTTTGGGAGCTCAGTCCAAAGTTCCGTTGTGAATCTCTGTGACTGCTTCCATCAGTTGCTGGATGAAGATTCTATGATGACAATTAAGGTAGTCATCAGTCTGATTACAGGGCAAGGCCATTTGCGCACCCTCTTCATTATTGCTTAGGGTCTTACCTGGGGTCATCCTTGGATTCCTGGGGATTTCTTTAGAGCTAATTTTCTTGCTAACCCCATAATGACTCCTTCTATCAAGGTACCTCTTTTCTTGCTCTCCCTCTCTGTCCTTCCCCCATTTTGACCATCCCATTCCCTTATGTTCTCCTCCCCCTTCCCTTCTCCCCTTCCCCTCCCTTCTAGCCTCCTTTCTCCCCCCCACCCCACACTCCCAGTTTTCTCAGGAGATCTTGTCTGTTTTCTCTCCCCAGGGGGATCCATGTATGTTCCTGCTAGGGTTCTTCTTGTTACCTAGCTTCTCTGGACTCATGGACATAGGCTTGTTATCCTTTGCTTTATGCCTAATATCCACTTCTGAATGAGTACATACCGTGCTCATCTTTCTGGGTCTGGGTTACCTCACTCAGGATGCTTTTTTTCTATTCCATCAATTTATATGCAAATTTCAAGATGTCATTGTTTTTTTACCGTTGAGTAGTACTCCATTGTGTAAATGTACATTTTCTTTATCCATTCTTTGGTTGAGGTACATCTAGGGTGTTTCCAGGTTCTTGCTATTACAAATAATGCTGCTCTGAACATAGTTGAGCAAATGTCCTTAAAGTTTGATTGAGCATCCTATTATATACCCAAGAGTGATATTGCTGGGTCTTGAGGTAAATTGTTTCCTAATTTTCTGAGAAACCGCCATACTAATTTCCAGAGAGCCTATACAAGTTTGTACTACCACCAGCAATGAAGGAGTGTTCCCCTTACTCCGTATCCTCTCCAGCAAGCCCTTTTGACTGGTGTAAGATGGTATCTCAGAGTCATTTTGATATGCATTTCCCTGATGGCTAAGGATGATGAGCATTTCATTGTTTCTTTCTGCCATTTGAGATTCTTCTGTTGAGAATTCTCTGTTTAGATATGTGCCCCATTTTTTAATTGGATAATTTAGTATTTTAATATCTAGTTTCTTAAGTTCTTTATATATTTTGTGTAGACCTCCTTGGCGGGTCACTCAGTCTAGGGTTGTAACCCGCCTGGCTGGTCAGTTATTCCAGGGTCCCGGAGAGGTGCTATCTGAAAGACATGGGCAGGAAAGAGGAAGAAGGCCAAGCAGATTTGTCAAAGCCTCCGTTTATTAGAGTCATGGTTACAGCTTATATAGCCCCTGGATGAGGAATTTGGGGATGAGATTGGGGGGCAGGGGCATGGCCAGGAAGGAATCTTGCAACGATGGTTCCAGCCGGTTGCAAGGTTGTTGTCCAGGAGGTTAGCATCGGTCAGGTCACGATTCCTGGTCAGGAAGTGGCAAGTTGACACACCTAGTTCTCTAGATAGTTGGAATGTGGGGTGGGTTCCGCTAACAGATAGCTCTCAAGATAGTTGGGTGTGAAATAGGCTCTGCCAATAAAACAGCTCTAAATACCTTTTGAGTGTGGGGCTTTCTGCAAACTCCCCAGGGCAATGGTCCCTGCAATAATTTTGGGGGGAAATGGCTCCTGACAATTTTGTAGTTCAGTCCTCTATCCCGCGTGGAATTGGTAAAGATCTTTTCCCATTCTGTAGGCTGCTGCCATTTTGTGTTACAGAAGCTTTGCCTTACAGATGCTTCTCAGTTTCAGGAGGTCCCATTTATTAATTGTTGTTCCCAATGTCTGTGCTACTGGTGTTATATTTAGGAAATGGTCTCCTGTGCCAATGTGTTCAAGACTACTTCCCATTTTCTCTTCTGTGAGGTTCAGTGTGGCTGGATTTATGTTTGTTTTATTTTTTCCTTTTTTTAAGATTTATTTATTTATTATGTATACAACATTCTGCCTCCATGTATGCCCGCATGCCAGAGGAGGTTGCCAGATCTCAGTACAGATGGTTGTGAGCCACCATGTGGTTGCTGGGAATTGAACTCAGGACTTCTGGAAGAGCAGCCAGTGCTCTTAACCTCTGAGCCATCTCTCCAGTCCTGGATTTATGTTTGATCATTTGGACTTGAGTTTTGTGCATGGCAATAGATATGAATCTATTTTCATTCTTCTACATGTTGACATACAATTTTGGCAGCACCATTTGTTGAAGATGCTTTCTTTTATCCATTGTATAATTTTAGTTTCTTTGTCAAAAATCAGATATTCATGGGTATGTGGGTTAATATCAGGGTCTTCAATTTGATGCCATTGGTTAACTGTCTTTTTTTTTTCCAATACCAAGCTGTTTTCATTACTATAACTCTATATTAGAGTTTGAAGTCAGGTATTGTGATGCCTCTGGAAGTTCCTTTATTGTACAGGATTGTTTTGGCTATTTTGAGTTTTTTTTGGTTTTCTGTATGAAGTTGAGTATTGTTCTTTTGAAGTCTGTGAAGAATTGTGCGGGGATTTTGATGGGTATTGCATTGAATCTGTAGATTGCTTTTGGTAGGATTGCCATTTTTTTATATTCATCCTACCTATCCAAGAGCATGGAAAATCTTTCCATTTTTCTGGTATCTTCCTCAATTTCTTTTTTCAAAGACTTAAAGTTCTTCTTGTGCAGGTCTTTCACTTCTTTGATTAGTGTTACTCCGAGATATTTTTTTGTTATTTGTGGCTGTTGTGAATGGTGATGTTTCTTTGATTTCTTTCTCAGCCCATTTGTCATTTGTTGCAGTGATTGATTGGTAGAGCATTTAACCTGCTATCCCTAAACAATCTTTTTTTTTTTTTTTTTGGTTTTTCAAGACAGGGTTTCTCTGTAGCTTTGGTATCTACCTGCCTCTGCCTCCCGAGTGCTGGGATTAAAGGCGTGTGCCACCACCGCCTGGCCCCTTTGTCATTTGTATACAAGAAGGCTATTGTTTTTTCTAAGTTGATCTTGTATCCTGCCACTTTACTGAAGGTGCTTACCAACTGTAGGAGTTCCTTAGTCGAAATTTTGTGGAGATATATATCTCATCTACACCTACTATCATATCATCTACAAATAATGTAAGCTTGACTTCCTTTTTTCCAGTTCTTATTCCCCTGATCTTTTGTTGTCTTATTGTTCTAGCCAGAACTTCAAGAACTATATTGAATAGATATGGAGAGAGTGGACAGTCTTGTCTGATTTTAGTGGAATCACTTTGAGTTCTCTCCATTTAATTTGATGTTGGCTGTCGGCTTACTGTATATTGCTTTTATTATGTTTAGATATGTTCCTTCTATCCCTGATCTCTCCAAGATC